GCACACACCTTATACCCCTCCATAAAATCCTGGAAATTCATGTCATCCTTTCTTTTTCAGAATACTGCATAGCACGAATGATGGTAACAAGAACTCAGTTACAGAACAAGTGAAGTATTACACACAAGCAATATTGTAGTGCATTGATCTTCTTGAACGCTCACTTGGATCCTTTTCCACTGAGGAGAGAAAATGCTGATCCCTGATTAGGTGTTCTGGGTGTTTCAAAGAGAAGGTTGTTCTTGTGGCTCAATGACACAGGCACCAAAATCCCCAAGCACATGTACAAGTTCCCTGACTTCAACTCTGTACCTCCAGGGAAAGCAGGCCAAAAAGGATGTGAGACTAGCCAAAAAAGAGGTGTTCTTGGCTCCAGAGAGCACTTTGCACCTACTCAAAAAAAAAAGAGTGTTTGGAAGGTTTTTCACAAATGTAGGCAGGCAACTCGCTCGGGCTGTGGGCAGGCAAAGTATTTGTAGTATTCTTTTAACCTCTCACCTTCAGAACATGCCCCTCTCACTGGGAATAATTACTAAACCCCTGTGGATGTCTATAGGGACTCAAACAAAACCACTGGGCAACATCAAAACAGCTGCTTCAGGGGTCAAATAGTTCCTGGTTGCTCAATTTTAAAAACTTTTTCTAGCAAAGGCAAGTTTTCAAAAGCAAAACCTAGCACTTTTTCTGTGAAAATAATTTTTTTTGTGACTTTTACTCTAATTCTCTGCATATCACTGTTTAGTTGATACTTTCGGAGAACACATTTTCTATGGTATTATTGATGTGACATAAACTTGTATTACTTTACATTTTAAATACACCACTAAAGTAAGCAGGAAGTGGCAAACGTACTTCATTATTTTTTTCAAAACTGAATTTCTTCCTCACCTAACTATCTATATATGGGTGGTTATATGCCACCACTCAATCTGAGTGAGAATAAGATCATAAGTCCATAAACTTCCAGTTTATACTTTTTCCCATTTGATTAAAAATGATTCTTCTCAGACAACACATGTTTTTTCATCACTGTACCTCTACTTCAGATGTTTCATGTCTTTTTCCTTATACGATGTATCTGCTACGCCAGACCACTGTCAAACTCAAGAAGCATATAAACCGTTTTTCATTTGAAATACTAGCCAAAAGAATCATGATTTTCAGTTGCTGGAGGAGATGATTTACGGCCTCAAGAAATTATGAACCATTACAGAAAGTTTACTGCCAAACTGATTCAAGAATTCCTGAAGTCTGTGAGAGCTCTCCTATTGATTTATATGGGCTCTGGAGCAGACCCTATACTTTGAAATAAGACTACTGTGTATTACTCATGGACTAATGAGCAAAATATATCTCAATAAATATAAAATCTGAGGGGTGACTTTTTTCAAAATAAAAATTCTTCTATAAGCACCCTTTGATGCAATATCTTCTTGATTACAATAGGTTTATAAGCTTGCTTGACAGAAAGAGAGTCAATAAGCTAAGTCTTAAAAAAAAGCAATGAATGTGGCTTGATGCAGTCTCAATAACTTATGCTGTAGAGAGCCTCTATATGGAAATATCATCGTCTGTAACAGGCACGCTAGTCAATGCACAACATAACCATTTTCCCTTTCCTTTTTAAATTTTATTCTATCTGTAAAAGCTCTGTGATGCTCAATGCTGATCCATCTTTTAAGAATACAGAATTACACCCACTTCGTTTCGTGCAGGAATGACAATAAACTTCCTCTAGCACAGTAGTATCTTTGCGTCCAGTTTCTGTTAGGAAAGGGAGTTGGTGTTTTTACCATGAAAGAACATAGCTCTGCTGGCTTAGATGTGTTCAGCTAATGATTAACCATGAAAGCTGAGCAAATCTTCTACCAGTATCCCTTACCTTATTTGTTTGGAGTTTGTGATGTATCACAGCTTCCTGTGTCATTGCAATAAGAAGTTACATTCACATACTGCTAGATCCAGATGAATTGCTTTAGACTCAATACTCTGATACAGTTCCACTGCTATTTAATGTGTACAACTTCTGTCTTTAGAAGATTGTAAGTGAAATACCTTAATTATCCAAAAAATATTCCAGCTCCTATTCTTTCAATATATATCTGAGCAATTAGCATGATTAGACTAAGAATCTGGGGTATGGAGATAGAATTTCTCCTGCTCCCTAACTAGTCATAATTATAGTTAAACCTGGGCATGGAAAGATTGGAATAATTTAGTGTCTCTTCTTCTTTCTTCTTTAGATCACAGAATGCAAATAAGATCCAGAAATAACTTTTCTATTCCACAGCAGCTGGCAAAGTCAGGTGTTAAGATTGGCTTTTAGCATATGATCACAGCGACTACTAAACAGTATAAATTTTTTTGTAGTGACAGCTTGCCAGTTCTATAGCAAGTTGGACTATAGTTCCTGTTTTTATAAACTTCCAACCTTTGTAAGTTAAGCCCATTTTTATTGTCTATACACTTCAAATTTAACATAATGCCAACTCAAATTTTTTCCCTAATTCTTACATTCCCAGAAATTACTAGAAAATGAAAAAGAGACACATTTAGCTTCATTCTTAGACCTGCTTTTTCTTCAGCTTGCCAACTCCTTATAAGTGCACTTCAACTTTTTGTTTTCTTGAGTATGTTTGCCACTTTAAAAGTATGAGGACATAGAAGAATCAATACAAGAAAGTTAACACAGGTTTAAAAAAGCTCCTGCCTGTCAAAGCCATGCTTAGATTGACAGAGTCAACAGAAGCACAGATGAAGCAGACTAGGACACCTGCAAACTCTTACTGTTGGCTATGGGCCTTCATTCAGTACAAAGAAAAAGTGATTTTGTAATGTGAAGCATCTGAGTAGACCACCTGAAGTCACTGGAACTGTAGCTCATTGCCACCACTACGGTCCTCATCCAATGAAGCTTTTATACTTAACTTCAAGCACCCGCGCTTGTGATTAAAATTTCCCAAAGCACCTGAAGTCCTGCTCCTTCAAACTCTTCACTTTTGTACCCTAGCATAGTAACCTGCAGTCTTACTCTCAGAGCACTCACAGGCTTGCCTGGGACCCTGGCACACACTCCCTGCCTATGGATCCAGGATCTCCATCTTTATCCTTTACCTTTAGCCTCTGCCTCTCAAACTAAGAGTATTGTAGAGTATCTGCCTCCAGCCCTGGTCCTGTCCCCTAGATTGATATTTGACCTACACTGTACATAGCTTGTTGCCTGGATGGATCCCACCTTGCATCCTGCCTTCCCTCATGTCTTTGGCTATGCCTCCTGGATGGACTTTGGACCCCCTTGTAGCCTTAGCCTTGTCTCTAGTCCCATCTCTGGCCCTGTCTCCTTTTATTCCTGACTGAATTCTCTGAAGGGATGCTGGACCTGATCCATTGGTTTGCCTTGTCTGGGACTGTTGATGGACTCTGTTACCTGGTCCCACTCAGGTGCTGTGGGACTGGACCCTGCTTGGTGAAGGCACTGTGTGTGCTGGAGTCACCCTCAGGTCACAGCTCCCTTTTCCTCAGGGAACAGGCAGACTCTGCAGATCCCTGACACTCAGGAGAGGTGACTCAGTAAAATCAATCATTTTCCTTGAATTCACTCAGCTTTGGATTAACTCATGGAAAGTTTCGTTTAAGACTGAGAATATTTGCCATCTGCAAGATCAGCCCTTCAGTTTCTTCACTGAGATTGCCCCCAAAGTGCAGAACAACTTTGAATGCTCTGCAATAAAAATGAAATACCAGGCATGCCTAGTGCAGTGCAGTGTTCCGTGTTCACGTGTGCTATTTCAACTTCTTAAAAAATAAAAATAAAACTGAAACACCTGAACATACCTTTCAAAGTGCAGAGAAGACAAATGGGATAAGTAAAAAACAAATCCATTTTCAACCAAAAAAAAAAAAGAGACTTATTTATGAGATGAACTTTGTACCATATCTATTCATAAGGCACAAAGTAATCTTAGAGAGATCTAGGACCTCTGTCCTAGAAAGTTCTCTTTTCCTAGTAAAAGCTCTGCCAGTGCAAAGTGCTGGAATCATTCATCCAGCAGAATGACAGGGGTGATACCAAAAAATGGAGGGAAGGAAGGGGATACATTAGAATTATCTGTTATACTGATTATCTACTCACAGAGTCTACCTCAGCAGTAGTTTAGTAAATGTGAGTTTTCTGGCTCATAGGCCATCTGGAATTTTCTCACCATGGCCACACTATTAAATTTTCTCAGCCTCCAGAATAGGATGACTACATCAAAACTCCAACTAGGAACAGTTCCTGGCCTGTGCCAACCCCTGAACCTTGCCTGGGAATTGATTGTAAGAATGCCATCGATCCAGACTAAAACTCTACCAGTATCTCTTTCAACAATAAAACTGTACAGACAAGAAAGTTCAATGCAGGAGAAAGGTCCCTGAAATGACTTAATTTACTTGTATATAAGTAGCTCTGGTCTCCAAGGAATGCGCTTTCTGTATCTTTCTCTTACACTACAGTTGAATGGCTGAAACTGTGGAGCCATAATAATTTTGCTGACTCCTCTCTATTATGTTTTGCTGTCATGGAAAAATCAAGCCAGCAGAATCCCATGATATCAACTGATACACAACACAGATGGTACATGTTCTGCTTGACCTGCACTCATGCCCTGGCTGGCCATCTGCCTGTCTGATCAGAACCCATGTAACTACTGGCCTCACTGGGAACCACATCTCAGGCTTAGCCAGAACACAGACTGTTTCTCCTCCACCTAGGAAAACATACCAGATGGAATACTACATCTGATAGTGCTGAATGCTGCATCTACAAAGGTGTGGCTCAATGACACTGTAATGATCGGTGACCCTTTTTATGGCTTCTCCAAAGTCAACAGAAAGACACTAACATAAAAGCACAATCAAGCCTCCTGAAATTCTGGTTTTGCACAAGTGTAAGTGGATGTAACATTTACTCAGGCATCCTGGGTGGCTTCCCTGGGAATCTCTGAGTATTACATAGTTACCTTCTTTAAGTTTTGCTTTATGGTTGTACTGTCTCTCTCCACAACCTTCATCATTTCTTGGCTTGCCATATACAAGATGTTGGCTGTAGAAAAAGAAACATGCATTAATGTAAGTACACAGCAAATATTTTAGAAAAAGCAGTATGGGCCCAACCCTGCAAAAAGGTCAGGCAATAAGAGTAGTCATCACCTTGACAGTCCCACTGATAAAGATCACACTGACAGAAAGGGCAGAATTTATCTCACCTAACTGAATCATTAAAAAGGCATATAGACTAAATTAACTTATCCCGTATTAATCAATGGAAAGGGAAAGACACTTCTGGAATATAACTTCATCTATCTTACAGACTTCTGAATCGGACCATGAATCTCTCCTGACCAGAGAAGGAACATTGATGACTAGCTTTCATAGAATCACAGAATAGTTAGGGTTGGAAAGGACCTTAAGATCATCTAGTTCCAACCCCCCTGCCATGAGCAGGGACACCACACACTAAACTATGTTGCCCAAGGCTCTGTCCAACCTGGCCTTGGAACACCGCCAGGGTTGGAGCATTCACAACTTCCTTGGGCAACCTATTCCAGTGCCTCACCACCCTCACTGTGAAGAACTTATACTTTCACTACATATTTTTAGAAAGGTAAAGGTAAGCACAAACAATCACCCATGAAGTGTTTTCAAGAGTGGCTTTTAAATACAAAGCATATACCAAGAGGCATTATTAATTAAGAGATATTAAATTATTGACATTTCAATATGCAATTCATTCAAATATTCAACATAACACATAATAATAGCAAATGTAAGTAACATTGATAACTGCAGTTCTGCATAATATTGATGGTACCTACTCAGACAGGACTGGACCAGACACCAAATGTCTAAGCCTTACCCTTCTGGAATGTAAAGTATTAAATATGGCTTGGTGTAATTTACTATGAGTTGGTCTGCAAGATACTCTCAGAGACATAAATGACTGAGTCTAACATTTGGACACCTCAGTAGAAGCAGTATAATTTTATGAGGTGTTGAGTCCTGGCAGGTCCCATGTATGTTAGACAGCAGTGGGAACTCAGTACTTCCGAAAGCTGGGTCACTTTGCCCAGATACCCAAATATTCATAAGATTAAATTATCACACTGTGTCCACCTCATTTGGCTTCTGTTATTACAGAATCTAAAGAAGCTCAGTGTGTTAGATGGGTCTAACACTGTAAAAATTGGTCCGTGGTGGACCATCCTGATCAAGATAAAAAGCATGTATGTATTTGTATTAGATGGGTATAACACTGGAATTGGTCCGTGGTGGACCACTCCGATTATCTGGAGTGAGTGTGCACGGCAGGGAGCCAGCAGGGCCACTCCTCCTGATGCAGGCTGACCCCCTGCATCAGGATGAGTTGGCACTTTCTGGCATATAAAAGGCCTGAGGTTTGAGAGAGATCAAGAAGGAGGTGGATCCAAGTACCTTTTATGGTTGACCTTACTTTCGCGGGGACACCCGCCAAAGTATAAGCCTGCCACCGCGTTTGTACACAATGCGCCTCGGAGCTGGCCTCCTGGTCATTGGACAAGTGCGTGGGTCGGTAAGAATCTGTGCCTAATCTATTCTTTGGTAGCCTTTAGTTATCTCTCTTTCTAGCTTGGTGTATCTCTGGATTTTACATCTATTTTAGATCTTGTAATAAACTTTCTAGCAGTTTGGTGTATATGTGTGGTTTACGTTCCTTCTCCACCCAGAATCCTTCGGTCCCTGGAACACTCAGCAAGAAATTTCAATGCACAAGTCTGAAACTTGGCTTTGAACAAGCATGTACCTGTAAGATTATGAGTTTTGCTGCTAGAATAAACTTCATGTTCAACTGCAGAATCAAGAGTTGCCACATGATCACAATGCTGCATTACATCTGCAGACAGTGAGAAGTCCTCCAAAGGGTGTTCAGACTTACCCAGTTTTAATAGGGGCTATCCATTTCTGACATCAGTGCTGTACTGAAGAAATGTGCAGATACCACTATCTGAAGAATTAGTATTTCTTTTAACTTTTTTCTCTGCCACACTCAGCTTACTGCGCTAATAAGATGGCTAAACTTCTCCTGTCCTCTGAAGCCTCTACACATGTTGGATCACAGAATGAAGAGCAATATTCTTCTCCTTTCTCGCTAGTTTGCAAAACCAACGGAAGATCCTGAATGGCTAAATTACATTAAAGCATTTAAACTTCTGGGTCCTAGAATGACTGAAGGTATTCTAAAATATTAAATCCTCTCCTGAAAAATGGAAGAAAATGGAAAGCTCTGACAGTTTTTTAAATCTGAACCAATAAAATTTTGTGTACAAGTAGCTGCTGACAGTGTTCAATCTGAAACTGCTCTGAAACAGGAGTAATACTTTCTCACAGTGTGTGCTAGGGGAGGAAATGGCAATCACATAGGTCTTTGGTGGTGACCAAAACATGGAGTTGGCTGAATTCCAGCAGTGCTCTAAGGAAACAGAATGCCACAAGAGAGATGAGTGATGGCTCCAGAGATCAAATGTTAAAAAGACAAAGCCAGTGCTCTCAAGTGATAAAGAACAAAAATCCTGGAAAGTAGTATCTACTTCTAAGCCAGCCAAAGAAGATGCAATTCAGTTATATGCCTGCAGAGCTCTGTCTTTTTCAATTAACATTGAATACAGCTAGTGCAAGTTCTTCCTTTCCTAGACAAGACAAAAGGGTTGCAGATATGAAATCATACTGACAATACAGCAAATTTGCTGGTTCCACCCTACTCTACTGGGCAAAGCAGCCTCCATGAGGTTTTGTATCAAGCCACCTGGTCATCTAATCCTATGCTGCAGCTGGCAAAAGCCTGCCCATCTACAGCATTAAGCCCATATCCTGACATTGATCTTTTTCTCAATTTAAATCCAAACACTGATGCATTATACACCTTTGTTTTTAGAAGGATATACACCTTAGAATGCACCATATAAGAAAACTTTAAATGAGAGGTATGAAAAACAATGAGGAATTCCACAGGTATTTAATTAACTTCAGACTGATGCCTGTTTCTAATATGACAAGTATGACTTTAACGCTCAGAACTCTTTCCTATAAATGAAGCTAGCTGTCTGACAAAGCACTGATTGTTTCGGAGGAAGGGCAGAACATGGAGAGCAGACTTGTCCTTCAAATGATGGATATGGTTTACTGTGGATTTACAAGATCTCACAAAGCACTAATTGCAAGAGCCTGGATTTGGCAGGATATCTGTGGCAATAAGACTTGTACTCAATCCATTATATGACAATTTTAGTATGTCATGTCTTCTATTTTCCAGTCCCAAAATAAGGTTCTTGTTAGTAAGACACAGTGGATAGCTGACCTGCAGTCAGAACTTTTGCCATGACCTTACAGCATCAGCAGTGGATGGTAGGCAGGGATGAAAATACTGGTGAACATCAGTGCAGAACCTGACACATACTGGTTCATTCAATGTTACAGGGATTCTGATGGCAACTCTTCACCTCCAGTTGAGTCATACAGCAGAAGTGGGAACACTATAAGTATTCTCCTGCTCCCCTCCCAGTATGTATTCTCCCATCTCACTGGTTTCTCTGTCCTACCTCTTATGTGTTCCACTCATATTTCTGAGTTTGTTTTTTGCAGTAAAACGTAAGAAGTGAAGTGGTATTCACACACTTAGTAAAATTAAGATTAGTCATAAAGATCCTAAAAGTAAAACTGCAAGACAGCAAAGGCAATAATGACAGTACTTTAAAAGGAACTGTCTCTGAAGGCTTGTGTACTGTGCAAGAAAGGGAACCAGGAAGGCAGGATTAAGCTAAACCGGATGAATGGCAAGGTTCAAGAGTCTATTTCAACCAAACAGAAATCCTTCAAATTTTGGAAACATGATCCTAGGGAAACCAATAAACAGGAACTTAAACTTCAGCAGACGTTAAGTAAGAGGAAATTGCAAAGAGCAAAAGTAGGTTTCCAAGAACAAACATTAAAAGATTTAAAAATAAACAATAAAATATTCCTTAGGTATATCAGAAACAAGAGGCCTAAAACAGAATTTGTGCAGGCTAAGGGAATAGTTAAAGACAGTAATTACACTGTTTGGAAGGTAAATGACTTTAATTTTATATTCATCCAAGTCTCTTGTTTAATACACTCGGGAGGTTTCTGCTCTCTATATTCTTTTTCTAGCAATAAAAAATTCTCAATGAATAGTGAGGTATCAAGAAGTAGCAAGAGTGGAGCATCCAGAATATATCAGGGCTAGAAGATACATTTAAGAGTTTTAAAGAACCTTAAATACAGAAAAGAATTTCTGAGTCAATGACAATCCTGCTATGTAAGATGACTTGGGGAGCAGAAAACAGTCTAACCACTAATGATTTTACAAATGAAAATAGCATTTTATTGATCTATAATTTCTTGAACATTTCAATAAACACAATCAGATGACAAAAATTACTGTTCTTCTAAAAGCTCTCTGTTACGTTTCACATAATAAGCTTTGATTGAAACTATATGGCTATAAAGTGAAAGGTTGTAATGTGCTAAGAAATAGTCTGAAAGAAAAAAAAAAAACCAGATTAGGAATTCAATTAGATTAAATGGTTTTCATCACAGCGAGGAGTAAGGTCTAGGTTCAACAAAAATACAAAAGTAATAATTATTAATAAAATCTCTAAATAGTCATGGAACACACCTGTTGATATGAAAGTTTCTGGGGTGGGTTAAATCACTGCTGAAGATGACACTGATACAGCCTTTACATCTGAACTTGAATTTAAGTGCCTAAAGTGAGGTGGAATAAATCCTGGCATAAGGTTCTAGTCCAGCTTCATATTAAAATATGGCCAACTTATTTCTCAATGCAAAGAATGGAATCAGAAACCTGAGACCCCTAAGATGACTGTTGCTCACTGTACACATTTACTGAAAACTCCAATTAAATCATATATTAAGTTTCATAAACTGTAAGACGATGATGATACAGAATTCTGAAGCACCATTACAGCATCACATAACATGACCACAACTGAAGAACTGTGTATGCTGACAGTGACACCCTCTGTGGGA